AAGTGAATCTACAAGTACTTCCCTCCATGCGGATAAGTTCCAATCAGAATTAATTTGTCTTTCATCCTAATCCTTAATATATGAGAACATTTTTAGCAGATGGATACACAGACTTGTGTACACCATGTTGTTAATGTATGTTTGTCAATAGTAAATTCTCCTCTTCTAGGTTGTGTATTTATTAATTTAGCATGAAGGCTCCTGGGGATGAGATATGCCATGTTGTAAAACTTCCATGCATTGGCCAATCATCATTGAGTTGTTAATTGGTAATCAGGTGATGCCCTTTATATTGTCCTGGGCTACTTGCATTTCTGAGAAAAAATATCCTAATCATAATACAGCAATAAAAAAAATTTTGTGGTAAGTTGGTAAATTTTGTTAGGTGGGTCAGTATATCAGCAGAAATTGGTGAAAATCAAATTTCCCAGTTCATAATGTCAAAACAATCTATCAGTCAGCCCTTATTTCAGATGATTGGTCAGGTTACAGCAAATAGAAATATTTTTAAACTGACCTTAGAAGTTAACAGTAATACTAAAATAGCATTCTTCCTAACCAATTGATGTAGAAAACCATCCTGAACTGTTTCTCAAAACCTGTCTCCCTCGTGATTGGACTCTTAGCATTACCCAATCTATGTGCCTAAAATTAAAATCTCCCATAATTATTATCTCATTAACAGTTGAATTTTTGGTCTCACTGTAGAATTTCTCATTAATTTCATCAGTTTTTTCTGGTGATCTGTAACAAATTTCAACTTCTCCAACTCCACTCATAATTACTAACAGAAACCCAAATAGAACCAACCTCATTTCTGTTAACTTTGATATCCTCAACTTGAACTGGCTGTAAACTTGCATATAAAGCCATTCCTCCCTCTCTTTTTGGTACTATATCCCTATTAAACAACCTATAACTCTGTATTTCAAAGACATTTGTTTTCATAATTGTCTACATTTAGCCAGGTTTTATTTATTCCTATTATATCAAAACCTTCTGTTTTGACCAGTGCTCTGAAGTCATCCATTTATTTCTTATACTTCTAATGTTTTATTTTACAATAGTAATAAGAATTAATTTTTTAAGAATTAGCTGTGTAACACTGTAACCATATTTTCAGTATTTATTTACGTAAAAGAACAGACTATAATATTTTGGATTAATCAGTTAAAATAACAATATATTCTGTAAATGATTAATTCAGTATGTTATAGTTGTGACTTCAATGCTTATACCATTATCTTTAATACTGTGAATGATATGAAAATAAAAAAAGTTGATAAACATTTCAAAATTCTTAATTAAAAGTAAATAGACAAATTAGAAAGAAAATGACTGCATTGACAAACAGGATGTCCATTTCAAAATGTTTTAAGAAGTTGCTACTTAAACTGTCTTACCACTTGCATTTCACTTATCTTAGACATCAACAATAGGAAAAATATCTTTCTCACGAGAATTCTAAGTGATGAAAAATTGATTTTGTGATAAGCCTAAGTAATAAGAGCTGCAGGTACCCTAAACAGTACTAACTTTGTTGAAAGTAAATCTTTTATGTCTAAGACACTGAAAGTGTCTGGAAAAGGATAAATCATGAAAATTTACAATGACAAAAATTTAATTGGCATTAATACTATTGTTATAATTTAGAAATAATCAGTTATTTTCTGAGGCCTTAACTGATTATTGTAGACTCCAAGTGCATTGATTTCAGAAAATCTCAAGAACGTTTTTATGGTAATTAATAGCCCACTCAAGTAAAAACAGTGAAATGTAGTGTTTCTTTTTGATACTGTATGGTAGTATAAGGATATCTAGCTGTTTTTACTAATTTCTGAAAACAAATAGAGGGGGAATCAGACCCACATAGGATCTGTGCCTACTTATACAACATTGATTAATGAAGTTATTAATTTCTGGAAAAAAATGGGCAAGGGAGTTTGTCCCCTCCTGTAGATGTGTGCCTGCTTGTAAAACACTGAAGAATACAGTTATGCAATTATAACTTAGAATCATAATACTGTGAAAAAAAACAGTAAATTTAAATTTTATTCAACACTTAACTAGCCAGAGATTTGGCAGTGGGTGCTACTAGCCAGTTGCCTTTCCTCTAGTTAACAATTCAGAATTAATGGCAGATAGCCTTAACAGTTGTACAATAACAAAGAGAAGGTAAGCAAGTTTAGTGGCAATGGGAATTGAACCAGATATCCTCAAATGATGAGGCACCCCTCATTATGTAGCTTTGTGCTTAAAGACAAACACAAATGTTTTTTAAAGATAGTAATGTAGGTACAATTATACAAGGACTTTTCTCTATGTTAAAATGCTTTTCTTATAAGTAGAGAAAAGTCTGTGTATAATTGTACAACAAACATATATGGCAATATTTTGATTAGTTTGTTGTTTCATTACATTAATCAATTAGTTTATGAGACACTAATCAATTTAATCATTGCTCATAGGTAATTAATTAAATTGCCCAGTTTTAAATTGTCAAGCCAAACTCCCAAAACAGGAAAATGTCACTTTTCCTTCCAGGTGCCAACAAGAAGTTTTTGAATATGGTGAAACTTCACATTTCTGTATCAAATTCACTAACAAACAGGAAAACAGCATTTAACCCCATATGCATGGATGGGGGGGTCAAAGTGGAAAGGCCATGACATTTTACAGAGTGCCATCCTACATAGTATTATGTATTTTATATCAGAGTTACCAACTATTTATTTTACCATACATTACTGATATAGCGATAATTCATGGTAGAGGAGAATAAATGCCAGATACAATAAATGTGGATACCAAAAAAAAATTGTAGATATGAATTTTGGAAACTAGGGATTATGCAGATGCAATACATAAATTGTACAATTGACAAAAGTATTTTTTTCACACAAACATACCTTGCACTCTGACTTGTCAAGAGTATGAATCAGACTGACATTGTCAATTCACAGACATATCTTGAGTACAGATACTTCTGTAATGCATCTGATTTTTTGTGTGCAACAAACTTATACATTTCACTTAAAGCTTGCTGTATTTTGTGTAGCTACACATAGTAAATTTGGAATTACAGTGAAAATTTCTTTTCCAATATAGAGTTAATACATTTGACTGACCCCATGCATATTCTGTTAATAAAAGAAATGCTGTTTATTTAGAAATTAATTATTTTCATTACACACATGAGTATGCTTGTGTATATACAGACAAAAATGCAATCTGAAGTAATGATGAATGTATTTTTTGGACTTAAACTTTTTCCTCAGAGTCTAAGAAAACCATTTTATTTTTTGAAATTTGAATCAATAAAATAATTTATCTTTATTCAAAATAGTATAAAACTATTTTCTAAATTGACTGTTTTTCTTTCAATTTACGTTTTCAATGCAGATGATGATTTGTATTTTTAACAGGATATTCATACCCACAAGTATTTGCATTGCTTTTCCTGCATCTCTACAAATTGAGCAATGCTAAAATCTCTTGGTATCTTACACATACCAACTGAAGTCATTCTGATTCAAAGTTTTGGGAAATTTTTTGGATTTTCATTCTCTAATTTTTCATTGGCCATTCTTTTCTGGCCAGAATCTGATTTGTCTAAAAGTTTTACACTTAACCAATTTTCTAGAGACATTCTGAGTGAATGAAGAATACTGTTTTGGCTTGCAATATGTAACTTTGAATTGATCACATGCTTAAAATACAATTATATCTGTAAGTTAATGTGTAAAGGCAATTACAAATGATACTGCTTTATAATACATACCTTGCATAATTAATGATTACTTCCTGTGAAAAACTATCCAATCAAAAATACACCATGCGCTGAAAAAGATACAACACCATTCCCAATCCTCAATATTCTTCTGTAATTCACTCATAATATTGACTCAATTATGTGTATAAATACAATATACAGTTAACTTTCTTTCTTTTCTTTTTTTTTCTTTTGACACAAACTTTTGGTAACAAACAATGTGTGTAATTGTTATTGATGTACTCTCAGTGGGAAGATCAGATCGAGAATACTGATTGGCTTATGCCTATATTATGCATGTTGAGTTGGGAAAATATGGATAAGTGTTTAGTATCCTGGTGATTTGATTTGCTTATATCAAGAGCTTGATATAAGTGTGTGATGGTAAGGTTTGTCACCTTTGGTAAGGTGTGTGACCAACTGAGTTGAAAAATTAAAGGAACTCAAATTTTGCTGCAGGGGAAAATCAAAACTAAGTCAGAACTTTGAAGTCCTTATGAGTAACTGAATATATCAATTACTCATTACCAGGAGGTGCCATATGCATAAAGAGCAAACAGGTCTTCTTGATTCTGAAATGGTTGTCAACCACAGTGTCAATAGAGTTATTTCTTTTATAATATAACTACTGTAGTAATGTTTTGCATGTGTTTTATAGAATAATAATTTTAATTTTTTTACATGTAGTTTTTCATAGACTTGTCACTGAATTCATATGTTGCAAATTATTATTATTATTATTTTTTTATAAAATGGAAGGTGCTATTTTGTAAACTAGTTTTGTTTTTGAGGCTTATATTGTATTTATACCTCAGTGTTGGTTTTCTGTAAATATTCTAAATTTGTACACAGGATATGATTAGGGCATGTTTTAACAATTCATTATATTAACTATTATTTAAAAATAATTTTGATCAGATTTATTCTGTTATTATTTTTATCTGATATATGGTAAAAACCAGTATAATTCTTAAAAAGTGATATGAAGTTTTCATTGAAAAAAGTATTATTCTTTTTTAATACAGTATCAATTAATTAAGCAATTAGAATATAATTCTAATGGTTATTGACTTTTGTTTACTATTTTATTGTGAAAAAAGGATTTCCAAACTTTCCATTATATGGACTGTTTTCACGAGTTACCGACTTTATTCATGCTGTATAACAAGATCGTGTTTCTTTTTTTAAAGTTACATGTATGTGCATTATTCTGTACATCTATTTACAGAATCACAAACTTCATGCTGCCATTAATAAGTTTCATGAAGCTTATAAAGTGTTAGAATGAGCAGTGAAGACGAAGAGGAAACAATTCAAAAGCAAAATTTTAGCACAAAAATTACAAATTTTCAAGCACTCCCTTACAAAGGACAAGAAATTTATGCAAGATTTGAGCATTATCGGTCAAAGAGTTATGCCCAGGCTCTACATAGTATGTCTTCCACCTCAGTCCATAACAAGTCCACCCTTCACTCCAGTGTGCCAATTATTGATTCAGATCTTATGTCACCCTCACAGAGTGCTCCTGCAACTCCCAAGGGAAACCATATCATTAAAAAGTCATCTACCTTACCAGCAAGTAATATTTGTGAAATAGCTTTTCCAAAACCTGTGAAATCTAATAGCTCAAGTTTGACAAATTTTTTAAAGAAAATTTCTCCCAAAATTAGGCGAAGCTGTTACAAGCAAAAGGAAAAACCATGGATTGTTATAGAGTTCTCCCAGGAAGAAATTGATGGACACATCTCTGATAGCATGGAAAGTGATCATTCTGTTGAACTAGCCCTACAAGGTAAAGAGGAGTACTTTGCTAGACAGAAGGAGAAATTGCATAAGAAGGACACACAAAATACAAGACAGAGAATTAGTCGAAGAAGCTCTGAAGCTGCTGATCTCTGTCCCTTCTACTCGGACGACAGTGATAAATTGTATAATAAGAAAAATATGCCACCCAAGCGGTCTAAGTCTGAGATCAATAACAGCTCTTTTTTCTCTAGGTTTATGCTCAAAAAATTTGTTTCAGAACAAGAAAACTATGTTTCTACCAAGCTCAAAAAGAGTAAAGCAGAAAAATGCTCAAACAGATACAGGGATGGTAATGTAAAACCAGCCAAGGTGAATTCTAAGTACAAAATACATGAAGATGAGTTTTGTGGAGAAACAAAAATTTCTGAAACCTTTAAGCCAATGTACAGCTCTTTGGTCAAGGATTCTACCAAGGTATATAGTTTAATGGATAATATCAATGCATGGAGGTGAAACACTATGTACACCTTTGCCTGAAAATACAGTGTGTGGTTGCTGTCATAAACCTTTCAGTAACTGCTAGAACTGATGAGTAGAACATAGATGTGGCATAACGAAACATGTACTTTAGAATATAAAACATTGTTTTCAATGAAAAACGTGAATACATGTGGCTGTTTTTTTTTTGTTTTTTTTTGGAAATAGAAACAGCATGTAAAAAGAAAAATAAATGCATGGGCATTTGCACACACTAAGTTCATTTGTATGTAGACATCCTTGTAGGAGGTTGTGATTTTTAGCATGTTTGTGGCATGTTTATGTAGCAGTAGATAAAAACTGATATTTTAACAAAACTGGTTTTTGGCTTCTTCCTATTTTCCATTAAATGTAAGTTTAAATTGACTTTTGTAGAAGCAGAATATTGGTTTTTTAGTGTTTTCAGTGTTCATCTTCAAAATCTATTTTGATTCCTATATGAAACTTTTGTAATCATGTTTTAATTCAGTAGCATGTTAATGATGATATATGACCATCAGCCTAAATATATGCTGCAGTTCATAAGTATCACACACTCACATTAAAGTGGTTTGTTTGTCATTATTTGTAGCTGAAACTAAAAAAAAATATTAATTACGGTTGAATCTTGGTGCATTAAACTTAAAATCCTGTAATTAATGGAAGTTCTGAGCTGACTGAAGAGCAAGAAAGTAATATACTTTACTATAGAAATTAAGGATTAACAGGGCATGGCCAATATCTTATGAAGATATTAAATACTTTATGATAAAATTTAAAATAGAAATGTGTACATCACAGAAACATCAGACTGCCACTCATTTTTGGATGTATCATTCAAAGATTTTCTTTCCATAGGATGGGGTTGCTTCTCCCAAAATTCAATCACCCACTAGTTTTCTTGCAAATTTGAGGGATTTATTTGTACAGATAACTTTCGGTGTGAAAGAGCTAGGTTCTTTTAAAACTGTTCCATTTGAAACATACATAATAAAAACACTGAGGGAAAGTTTGCAGACATAATACATATATATATATAAATACCCCAAAACTAGCAGTTTTATATGTGTCTATATATATGCACCTATAAATGACTATAGTTTGAAAGTTCTTTGTGTGTGTATGTATATATATATAGTTTTCATAGTCTAGTGATGCATAATTTCAACTGTTATAACCCAAAGTAGGTACTTTACAAGGAAATTGTATTATGTTTACATTTCCGTGTTTTAGGTAAGATGTAGTCTGTGGATTGCTGGTACATCAGTCTCATTTAGATTGCTTACAGATTACTGGTCTCCCATGCATGTACACAAGCAGATGCTATACATCTGTTGATATTACACTTGATTTCTGCATAAGTAGATATACCAGTCACTATTTGTGATGACTTGTGTGTTTATATTAATATTGTTTGATCTCCATTATTTATTGTCCTGTTAAATAATGAATTCATAATTTTTTAAAGGCATTTAAACAAACAAAAAAAGGTTTAGTTTTGATAATTATCTCAAACATATTTTGCTGTAGCTGAAGTAATTCATCGAAATAAGAATGTTCCTCAAAACTTTAGTAAAATTTAGTGTGTGTGAAATCATGTGAAATTTGTATGTGTGTTTGTGTATATGTTAAAGATACACACACACCATAACATTGTTTTTTTTTATTGTTTTTAGTCCATTGTACCTACAACTTTTGTTTATAAAATTTGACTGGTATGAAAACAGCATATGGAAATTTTGAAAAAGTACTTATGTATATTCCGAATAAGTGATTGGCTGAGAAAGCTATTTTGAACAGTTTATATATTACTTTAGGCTGCTAATAAAAAAAAAAGGAATCATGTATGAGACCACTTTCTGCTTCTGATTGGATAATAAGTGGCTCTAATGTACTAGCCATTTAGCTTGGAAGTCTCCTGAACTTGAAAAATTACTGTACTGGAACAGGAATTCTGTCAGTAGAGGATGTGCGCTGTTTCACATAAATCTAGTGTGAAACCTCTGAAATGCACCATAACAGAAAACTACATAAAAAAAAAAAGTATTAATGTCAGATTTAGCTGTAGTAAAGTTTCATGGATTTTTAAATAGTGTATACTGGATCTAAATATGTTGCTTGTATTCACTGACCAGAACATTGTATTTTCTTTTTCCAGAAGAGTGACTTTAAACAATACAGAGTAAACAAGAATGTCCAAAATTTGAATGTTTGGGATCATTGTCATTACCAAAAGGTATGTCATTTCTAAATACCTATTCTTGTTTTATTTTAAACAAGATGTAATTTTATGGAATTCTTTGAACTTAAATTCCATAAAGTGTAGATTGTATCTTGTTTAGGAATTTATCAGTAAGTTATGCAGTCATATTTTCTCTTAAGATACCCAGAGGCTTATTAAAGTTAAACATAAATGATAAGCAGCAGCAGGTTTCTTTTAGCTTAAATGGAATACAATTTCGTTTGCTGTTTATTTAAGGGAATAAGCATATAGATGGTTGTAAGTCATTCATGGTTGACTAGTCAGAAGTCTGAAAGTTTTAGGAACTTCTTAATTGTCTAAGCAATGAAGCATCTTTAGTTTTAACTAATGAAGGCAAGTTAAATATTGGTGTTTATTGTTTATAATCCAAGGTAGAAATATGTAAGTGTTAGCTTTGTATCTTAATTTTAGGTTATGCTTAGAATATTTGTTGAAACTTCAGTGTTGATATGTTTCACTGTTAATTGATGTCTGGAAGAGTTTTATAAAATAAAATTATGCATAAAAATTTTCAGAGAGCCACTTTTTAAAATTTAAATGTATATTTCCATAATTATAATTTCAGTTCTGTACAATTCTTTTTTGGGTTTAGAACTACATGTGAAAGTTAACTGTAGTCCACTGCTTATTTAGAAATTTTAGTGTGATAAATGAATAAATAGCTATTTGTATGTGAATCAGTTTGAATGAAATGTCAAGGAAATATGCTGTTAGGATGCTTATTTTTTTATGTAAAGGTCCTTGTCTGAGTAAGAGGCCAAGTGAAATGACTATACTTACAGGAATAACTTAAAATATTAGAAACACCTTGAATTTTTAATTAAAATAATGCTACGAATGATGAATGGGGGTTTGACTTTGTACTCATTGTTAATGTCTTTTGTATTAATGGACCTAGATATGTATAATAACCAATTTTTTACATATCAGGAATCTCAATTGGGTCAAAAACTAAAACCTTGCAATTCAAAGGTTGATGCTGCAGATCATTTAGTTCCTTTCATCAGGTATGTCATATTTGAATCATCTCTAGTATAAGATACTTCCTGATTACCAGGTGAACTAATGAGAGTATGTATTAATATTTCTGTGTGCTGCTTGATTAACCATACTAACAGATTACTGACATTCAATAACAAAAACATAAAAAAGTGAAACAGAACAGCATAATATATCATGGAAGATAAAGTTTAATTGAGGACATTATTATTTAATTTTATTTGGTGTTGTAAAATAAATTTATATATAGTTTACTGTGAAGCTAAAGTTAGGTTCATAAATGTTGCACATTATCCTGATATTTAATTTTAAAAATTTTAGACGAACAGTTTGTTTGGAACTGGGGTGATATAAATATCAGCTAAGAAAAGAGAATTTTTGATTAAATTTATTTGCTTATATCCAGCATACAGTATTGAAAACAATTATGGAAATCTGAGAAAAAAAGATATAAAAGGCACTACAATGAAAAAATCATCCCTTTATCATGTGAAAATGTAATGCACCAGAGTGTTTGCACTGCAACTGGTTGTCATCCAACCAATAAGGTAGTGTCATACTAGTATAAAACCTATAAAAGGCAATACAATGGAAAAATCATCCCTTTATCATGTGAAAATGTAATGCACCAGAGTGTTTGCACTGCAACTGGTTGTCATCCAACCAATAAGGTGGTGTCATACTAGTATAAAACCTATAAAAGTAGTTATATGATGTTCAATATTAATAATGTGAATTTAGTTGTGGCTCCAATTGCTGAAATATCATATAACAAGCATTTCAAATCTTAAGTTTTTACTGGTAAAGGACACTCAATACAAAAAATTGTAGCAAGACTCCTTATTTAAGCAGAAGCTGTATTCAAGACTGTAAAGTTTACATGAAACTAATACTCATAATAATAGAACTAGTCAAGGTAGAAAACAAAATCTCTCCAAAAGGTTGGTTTAGTATCTCATTTTATGTTTTTCATCAGATAGACAACAATCAAATAATACAGATGTTTCTGAGACAATACCTCACCTTTCACACAATTTAGCTATATTCCTCAGTTCACCTTATAAAGAGACTTGCCTGCCACTAGCTTTGATGTAACTCCCACTTAATTTCATGTGATTTTATATAAATTGAGTTGCTGCATGATGTTATCATTCAACAAACTTCCCCCATAAATAGATGGGTGACACTCTTCCCTGTTCAATAACTTCACTTCTGTACTTGCACTCATGGAATTTTATTCTTTACCTCAACATTGTATTGTACAGCTGTGTTCAATTTATTAAGATCTGCATTCTTAACAAAACTTTTTAAGCTTTTTTTTCAAATGCTTTAAATTTTTATCATGAATTCTCAGATAGCAACAATTTATACTTAGTTCTGAGTGCATGACATGATTCACACTTAGGCCTCATTCTACTATGGCATTAGGAGGCTGCTAGCTGTCGGGGTAATTGTAGCTATTGTTCAATGTGTTGTGGATTACCTTATGCTTCCTGGACCTCCTACTGCTATCTTTTCTACTGAATTTCTTTCTCCTCAGTCAGGAATAATCTGTTGGACTGTGTCCTTAATATATATTTTGCTTTAGGTAGTTCTTTACCAACCATGACACAACATTAAACTTCCATTCTCTCTTTGGATTTCATTCTCAAGTATGTTCCTTTCCTTATATTTTGCCTATGTTTTGTTATTATTTTTCATTTTATCACTCCATGACCCATATTTCTTGGATTTACACTGTCTTTTCTCCTTGCTTGTTATCAGGATTTATACTGTTTCTTTCTCTAATAGCTCCTTTCTCATGCCCAAATTCCTCTTCCTTCTCTCTTTAGTGCTTCTTTTTGTGCTGTCTGTAGCCTTTCTTCATTTCATTTACTCAATTCTCTTACTTTCTATTTCATTTTCCCATTCCCTAATGTTATATTTGCATCTTTTTTCTCTACCTCCCTCTCTTGCCATTGCCTTTTATCTAGCACACTTCTTCTTACTTCACATGGACTCTGTGGACATTCCTTCTCTTCTCTGTTTGACCTATGCCACTTCTCCTGCTCTATCTTTCCATACTTTGTTCCCTCTCAGTTGGAACTCTTTGGGTCAAGTTATGTCCTTTCCCCCTACTCCTTCCTTTTTCTTGTATACTTATTATTACCCTGACTCCATTTCTTTGTCCTGATGTCTGCAGTGGTTTTTCTTTCTCCCTGGTAACCTGGACTGATATTCCACAACTTCTGGGCTCTTTCTCTTCCCAGGGTTTTTCCTCTTTCTAAATTTTGCCTTTTATTCCTATTTTTCCTCTTGATCAGATTTCTGCTGACCTTTTCATTCCAGATTCTTCCGTTTTTTCTTGTCTTCTCACTTTCTGACATCTTGTTCATCACTTTTCTTGTCAGTGAGTATCACACACGTATGATTCCTGGTTACCCATCTTTTCTCTTGCTATTGGTCTCACTTTCTGTTGTTTTTCATTTCTTCACTCCTTTTCTTTTCACTTCCAATTTCCTATTCTCCTTTCTGCTACCCTATTATGGTCTTTTTCACTCGAACTGCTGTTGGTCATGGTCAGTGTATCAGACATTTTTCTTTCTCTGTTCTTTCCATCATTTTTGTGTCTTTCCATTGCTTGCTCTTTATTTCAACTCAGCCCCTTTTGTATTCATTGGTTTTGTGAAGGCTTCTGCTTGCCATATTCACAACCTGAGACTTATGTTTATTTTCCTTGACTATTTATATCTGTCAGCCCATTCTCAGATGTTTCCTCTTCTACTACCTCCCTTCTTTTATGATGGCTACTAGGGTAATTGTGGGGTGGGGGCTTATATTGGGATCTAAGCCCTTTCTGACACCCACTCAGTGTTGGGTACTTTTGGTCATTTTCTTTCTCTCTTGTCTCATCCAGGTTCAGCCTGTCATCTTTGCCTGCATGCTATTGCATATCTGGTCTCCTGGTTTTCCACTTCCCGTTTCTCTTTCTGCATGAGATGTTTTTTTTTGCTTTTAGAGGCTATGGCATGCCTTCATGTATCTCTTACAGCAGACCCTGTAGACCCACGTTTTTTTTTTCTTGGGTCCATTGACCTCTTTTGTGAGCTTCTCCTCAAGGACTTGTCACAATACCTAGACTGTGGCCATACAACTTCCTGTGTTCTCTTATCACCTCTTTAATTATTTCTTTCCCTTTTTTGATGCTACTCTCTCTGATTGAAGTAATTTTTTGATGAGGGCAGGACTTCTTATGTTTGGATGCTGGACAAGAATTCACTTCACATCAATGTACTCAAACTTCTCCTCATCGGACATGTTCCTATTCCTGCCCCTACAAGTGGTTCACTTGGTCATGTTCTACTTAGTCTTTTTTTGCTCCAACCATCCTTGAGGTTCCTGTTCCAGGGCCTTTTGTTTTGGGGTATCAGCCATACACTTCTGAGCCCATTCACATCATTTCCCAGTAGCTTCATTTTTGTTGGTGGACTGCCTCTCTAGGCCAGTCCTTATTCTATCAACAGTATATTCTCTACAACCCCAGATCTTCTGTGAAGTTTACTCTTGGTTGGACATGCCCCTCTTGAATACTTTTTCACCCTATTCATCTCCAAGCTTCCTCCCTTTTGGTCCTCTATTCCTCATCCTTTGGCTCTAGCTGTCGATTTTCTCGGCAAGGCCTGTTCTTACCTTTTTCTCTATACCTACTTCCTTATTTGTCTTCTTTTTGTGGGCTTCAGTTTACACATAATTTCCTTCTTGGGCCCTATTATTGGTGCCTCTTTCACTGCCTTTGCTTTTGTCCCCCTGATACTTGGATCCCCTCTTATCTCTCCCCATTATCCCCTCTCTCTCTCTCACTTCACACTCTCACGGATTTCTTCCTACTCTCACCTAGACTCTGGTCAATATGTCACCTATTGGGCTAGGCTTTTCACTTATGTGACATTGTTCTTGTCACATTCTTTTGTTATGGATCCCTCCACTATATCTTACCTCCTGGCAGTAATATGTGCACCACCTTTCTGTTTTTTTTACCTGACTGTTCATTAATGGATTTTCAGTCTGTCTTAGTCGTTGAGTGGCCCTATTTATGGCCTTTCTCTTTTTCATGTACTCAGAGGTGTTCCTTCCTCTGTTCTCTCCATTACGTTGCGCTCTTTTGTTCACTTCAGTCCTCCTTGCTAAACTTCCTTGCCTGCCTGAAACCTGAATGAGGTTTTGCATAGTCTCATGCATGCCCTATTTGAGTCATTGACTTCCTGAATTTTGTACTGTCTTTATCCCCTGATTTGTTTAATCCTACTTCTCCTCCATGATTACTGTAGTTCTGATGTTTTTCCTCACCCTCTTCCACCACATTAATATTCTCCTCTTCCCGGACTTTTCTTCTTTGGACTTTGACCACTCAGGAGGTACACTGTACTTCTCTCCTATTTCCCTTCTGTCTCTCACCCAGCTTGGCTCCTGTGTCTTATAATGGACTTCTTTCATTCTTCTCTTATAGGATAGGTCTATCGACTCCTCCATTGACATGTTATTTCACCTTTTTTCACATTTGATTCATCACCATTTTTTCCTTCTCTTACATCTCCTCCAGGCAGACATGTGGCCTCTCTCCATACATTCATCTCCTTCTCTATACCTTTTAGTTGTTTTCTCTCCTGATGGTTTTTGGCTTCTACAGATTTTCATTCTTCAATCACCCACCATCTTAGAGAAGAATACATACTGTTTCTCTTTCAGAGTCCCTTTTTCATTCCAAGAGATTCTAGTGGGTGGCTAATTTTTCTTCCCAGGATATACTTAACCAAAATCCACAATGAGCCAGGATAACATAAGGCACTCATACCATCCACCCTGGCTATACATGAGCCCACTGTGAGATGAGGTGTTCTGCAAGACTATATTCATTCTATTGTTCAGTCCAAACCCTAACAATTCCATGGACTCTCATGGAAAAAGCTAGTTCAAGGGATTTGTCCTTCCCACTTCTCTTGCATGTAGTGGTTGGCTTTTAAAAATAAGGTTTTATGGACACTCATTACACAGTCTTCAGTAAAATGCCCTTCCAGACTAGAGGATCAGAGGGCATCCAGGCACTTTCTTTGGGTCTCTCTTATGTGAATTCTCCAGTCCTCCTTCAAGTGAAGCACAGGAGATCCTTGTCATTTACCAGATTGTAGCTGCTGGATTGATAGGCCATGGGGAACCCTCACCACTTGGACTCAACTGCTAGGGCTAGAAAAAGGAGGACCAATATGGGGAGAAGTGAAGTGGTGGTGACACTGTTGGTGATTAGTGTGAGTCACCCAACATATGAATCACATAAATCACTCGTGTCACATGTTAACTCCCTTGGAGTTTGATGGTAGAGTTGAGGTGTGCACTTTATGCAAAACTATGATGTGTTACTAACATATCCTCCTCCTGCAACTGGTGTTAGTCCCATAGAGTTTGATGGTAGAGTTGAGGCATATAAAAATATCCATATTACATGACAATATGCCTTCCTCCCACAGCTGGAGTCTGTTTCATAGAATATGATGGTAGTGTTTAGATGTGCACGTAAGTTACAGTCTAAACATGACTGCACACATTGGTGTATGATCACTTTGATGCAAGTACTGGGATGGTCATGTTCACATTCTGCTTATCCCTGCTATACAGATTTGGTTTTCTCTTCCCTGTACAGGCAAAGAGTATACCCTGGATGAGATGTGGTCCTATGAAGCCCCTGTCATTGGATGTCACACCCCACAGGCTTTCTTCAGGTACTTTCTGAATGAGGCTCATCTAAGTAATTTTTGCATCAGTTCTTCTACCATTTCAACATGGGATTCTAACTAAAACTGTGTATAGAGGGGAAATATTGTCTCGGAAGTTAAAACTTTTCTTACCTGGAAATGTATTTCCAATAGAAAACCACCCCTTCACACATTCCAACCTGACCTCCCCACTTTCAGTGTACATTTTATTACTTACTTCATTGAAGAATGAAGTTTCAGGAGTGCAAGCACATAGGGGGAGTTATTGTGTATGGAGGTGTGTCACCCTCCTATTGGCAGTTACTGTGAAATTAGGTGGGAGTTGCCTCAGGGCTAGTGGCATGCACATTTCTTTGGCAGACATGCTGAGGGAGATAGCTAAACTATGTGAAGAGGTGAGTATCTATTGGAAATAACTCTTCCAGTAAGGTAAATTTTAACTTCCAATGACCATGCTGTAAGTATAGTTGTGAAGATTACCTTTAAAACAGTATGATACACATTAGCACAAAGTAGTCTTAATGGATTGTAGCTACTTGAAAACCACTGCTGAAAAGAAGTAACTGAACCAGAGGTTCAAATGGGCATCAGATCACAAATAGTTGAATGAGTAAAAACAGAGATGTGTGCTCTGTGCAGATAAAGCCAAGTTTGAATTGCTTGTTTGGCAGCAGAGAAGGTAATGATGTCATAGTCAATTTACATCTACAATGAAATATGGTGGGAGAATTAGTACAAGTTTGAGGCTGCATCTCAGCCAATGATGTTGGTAAGATGCAAAAACTTTTATGCCATCCATACTGCTGACAAGTACAGATAGATTCTGATTGATCATGCTATTCTCTTAGGAACATGACTCATCAAGGGAGGATTCATCTTTCAGCAAGGCAGTGATCCCAAGTATAAAGGAAATGTGATGAAATGACATATTGCCAGTAAAAAAGTTGATGGACTACTCACAAAATCCTTATATAAAAATGTGCTTATTTAAAAACTGAGAAGGTTAAAAGGCAACCATACAACTTGGTTGAATTTTTGGGAGTAAATACGGTACATTTGTAACAATATTCATATTTGACAACTGTAGATTGATAAACTATATGGCAGTATTAAACCAAGTTGTTATGATTTGTGTACAAAAGGGGGCTAACAATGAAAATACTACTGCATTTTTTAACTTGTTCACTTTTGTACTTTTTGTGATACTGTTTTGTACTTTGTGAATTCTGTATATATGCATCACTGGTTTTTCCATAATTATTTCCATTACTGTATGTCATGAAATTTGAAAAGTACTGTAAATATTTTTTCTTAAATATGTCTCTGATAAAAATTATTATTTACAAATATTTGCTCCTTTGAAATACATACACTAGTTTCTGTAAGTTGACATCAATTTATTCAGTATATGGGAATGTTTTAAAGATTAAACAGTATGAATCCTTTAACAAAATTTTGATGCATGCAAAAACACAAGTGTTGGCTGACTTTGCTTGTCATATTTTGTTTAAAGTGAAACTGAAAAAGGTCTGTCTTGCTGGTTTTCTTCTTGTATATCCTTTTTTTTTCTTAGAGCCACACTGCAAAAGGCTCAACCGCCACAGAGCCTGAATCTACGGAACACAGTTCATGTTCATTCCCACCTAGCAAAAAATGTGGCCAACCAGATGGCCTCAGTTGAGTCCATTGGTGCTTGCTCCTTAGATGTTGAAACTACCACAGAGGGTGGGTCCTCAGAACTTAAAGAAGATAGTGCCATTTCTGATCCATCTCTCACCAGTAAAAGAATGATGTTATCTTGTATGTCACAAAACGAACTTGATGCAGGCCATCGTCGGGGAATAAACACAGCAGATGATCAGAAACGGCAATATACAAGTCACAAGTCAATTTATATGTGCGTTGATTTTACATATCTTCCTAGTTTGAAGCATGTTATTGTTATTTTACTGTTTAATCATACAGAAAATCTTTCTGTTTTATCCCTTGAAATTTTAATATTGCATTGGTATTAACCTTTGTCTTCAACAACACAATAAAAATATAGTTGAGAGAGAATACATCCCTGTAAATTAAATAATTTGCATAAGTAATAAACATCAATAATTCGGGGCTTGAAATTAACACTAGAAAACTAGTAAGTTGCTGGTTATTGTTTCAGTTTTGCAAGTAAAAACTTAGAAGGCACTAGAAAAAATTGCTAGTATGTATTTCAGAAGGAAGATTCATAGATTCTTACTGTCAAGTATAAATACACATGTAATGTATGCATTTCAGTCGTATTTCACATAATCTTCATAACGAAGGTTACTATAATTGTGATGAACAAGATTGTTTCACACTGCTGGTGCCATGCTGATTTTGTGATTACTATTTAACTGCACTATATATACAGGCTAAGTAACAGAAAATGGGGATAGCATCATTGCAGCTTCAACTCATCTGATTGGTTACCAAGGCAATTAGCAAGAGGATCAGTTGACGAGACTTGCACCATCCAGCTCTGCAATACAGCTTTGCTGGCGGCATAGTTAGAAATACTGTGCCAAGTGGTTGCTCAATGGAGTTAATGAAATTGAAATCACATTAACTGTAGATATTGTTTTGCACATTCTTCTTAATTTGTCCATGATTAATCCTACATGTATGGTATTGGTTTATTACATCAACCCCCATTTTTGTAAAACTCTATGTGACAATGTGTACAATAATTCCAAATTTACTAAGTTTATTTTCATGAAATATTTTAAGCTTTTAATAAACATTTGTCTGTGAATTTATGCTATCAGTCTGACTGACTAGTCTGGGTGCAAGGTGATTTTCATGTTAAGAATAAAAATACTTTTTTAATTTTCAAGTTTTCAAATTTGGTTTTCTTTACCTCTAGAGCCTCAAAAATGAATATCAAACATTTTTTTCAGTAAAACTTTATATTTTATCTGTTATTTTTTCTGCTGTAACTCTAATTTAAATGAAATTAGTATTGTGGGATAAATTGAAAAGTTGAAAAATATGTAATAAATCTAAGTTACTTTTTCTTTCTATAATAACTCTTTATCGTAACAGGCAATAACAATTATTTATCATAAGCAGTTTATTATTTTGTTGCTCTTTGAATTATGTCTAACTACTAAACTTGTGTAACAATCCTATGAATTATCCAAAATAGTCTTGCTAAAATTATGAGCACATAGTTCAAGTTATGGTAAAAAAGTAATTATTCGATACACGAGCTTCTTGTATGCATACCTTATTAAAACTTTATTTTATTTATGTTTTGTTATCTAACCTAATAAGTATTTAATTTTTCATTTTAGTTACTGTTATAACAATAAATCATCATAAAAAAAAAAATTATTACTTACAGGTGGGTATTGTAATTTTTACAGTCAAAGTCTTAATAATAGTTAATTCCAGTTTTTGGTAGGAATTTTGTTACTATTTTATTGAATTTCTATTTATTTCAAATATTCAATTTAGAACACAAAATAATAATGTGTATAAAGAATACAATGCCCTATAACTTATAATTCCACTGGCTTTCTAACTAAGCTATAAATGCATTAAAATAATTGCCTTACCTGGTTGACCTGAGATCAGCAATAGAAATTTTGAACTTGAAGGCTGAATAATTCAAAGCTGTCTTCAGAAGAATCTAGTCTTATACCTAAATCAGTAAATTAAAATCTTCTTTTTCTGTTGGTTATAGATAATACAACAACAAATGTCGGAGAGAATTATTAACATTTCTTGAAATACAGTATGTGATAGGAGGGTGGGATAAGTGGGTTTATATCTCAGTAAAGAAAAAATATTGGACACTATAAAATTGTATCATAGCAATGTCTATACTACAAGTATGTAATTTATATTAAAACTCAAAAGCTAACATAGGGGTGGAAAGAATATCTAGAATGGACAATTCAGAGCGAAGAGGTGTCGCATCATACACAGGAGTGAATATTAAGAACTTATTTAAGTATTTCCCTTTGAAATTAAGAAACTAATGATACAGAGAGTTTGTACATAATACTTTAAATAGTATACATACAACAACTAGCAATCATTTGCTTGTGCCTTCAAAAGTTAAGGTCGAAGCCTGTAATTTAAATTTTTTATAAAAAAACTGACATAAATTTGTAGTACAAGTAACTTACATGAAGCTTTTCTGTATGAAATAAAAATAGCTGAAGCAATGGTAATTTCAATAAACGTATCCCTAAAAATGGCTTTGTATCGATACATTACCAAAAAAAAAAGATCAATGAAAGAAAGATCAAACTTAATTCTCTAAAACCTGATATCAGAGTATAAGCCAAACAAGTACTCAGAATGCATGGAAATTTAGTATGGAATTAAACGAGTAAAAGAGGTAAGCCCTAATTTGTTAACTTTTGGATGTTGAAATTGAATGAAAAAATAATTTTTGTTGTTGTTGTGGGTGTTATATGAATTAGATTTGCCAGAGTTAATGTTTTGTTCTTTTTTGTATGTTCAAATAAGTTCATCTTATCAAGTGGTTATATTACATATATTAGTCTATCAGTAGTGTATGTTTTATGAAATTGAGATGCAGATTTTATTGGGAGTGCTTTGTAGGGAATTAAAGGCATAAAACAGGTATACTTTCAGTAGCCTTTAGCTGAGTCATTCACTGTTGCAAAAGGAACCAGTGATTTTGTTCTGAGCAGTGAGACACTAATTATATATGATTGTTCAAGTAGCTTTTTTATTTTTATCCCTTAAATTTTAAACTTAATTACATACCATTCAACAGTAGCGGGGGTCCACATATTCCATCACATTGAGCAATTTGGTTTTTGCCTGTCACAACATTATAATACAGAATTAACCATAAACATTGGGTGAAATCATTAATGTTCTGTGTACAATGCATAGAAAACTCCAACAGTAATTAGTGGGGCTAACCGCATTTTGATCATTTTTGTTTAAAGTTTTTTGTATGTCTGTTCCTGTAACCTGCAGAGTCACAGGCCCACAAGGAATTTGATCCATGGCAAGCTTTATTGGTAATTAAGTAGTCATATCTGTCATGCACACATGGATGAAATGTATACTTTAATGTTTGTGTCAATCATAGATGCACAAAATCAGGTTTGTTTAAATAAAAAAAAAATAGTAACACTATACATTTGTACAAAAATCATGTTGAGACATCAGAAAAAAATGATGTAGAATCAAGACAGTCCTAGAAAGAAATGGTGCTAGTTGCAAATGTTAGGGATTTTTCTTTCTGTAGGGCAGGTTGGAAAGCTTTTTCCCTGAACTTAATCTTTCTCTTCCTCCACTAGATTTTTTGCAAGATTGAAGAATTTATTACTACATGATAGCTTTTGTTGTGAAAAAGCTAGGTACCCTTAGAACTGCATATTTTAAACATAATCTTAAAAAAAGCCTTGGGGAATACAACCACACCCTGTTTATAGACATACTATGCCTTTTCAATGTCAGTCACAAAATAAAGTCCTTCTACCTCCCCGCCCCACCCTCTTATAAAAAAAAAAAATGTGAAAAACTCCTACATGAGAATAGAACCAAGAAATGTAGAAGAAAAGAGGTGCCAATGAAATAGGATGGTAAAACATTTGCATAGAATCTTCATAGTTTTAGAGAGACCAGATTACAATTGTAATTTAAGCAATTTTATAAAAAAAATTTAGTTTTCACATCGTCAGAATTGATATAAAAAAAAAGGATTTAAGCCAACCATCGTAACATAGCCTTTTTTTTTCTTTAGACTTAATTATTTGCATTTAACTTTTGTTATCCATGCATATTACATCTATTTACAAGTTTTTGCTCATTTATTGAAAAGTGATGCTTAAAAAAGGATAGATTTGTGAAATTTTGAAATACTTGAAATCATATTTAGTTTGAATGAAGTATTATATGCATAGATATTGCTTACAAGTGAGGTTTGAATGATGGTATTTGATTAGGAATATTATTAATTTATATGCTATGAATGGATGTACAAAGGGTTAATTGCACTTTGAACAAGCTGTATAGGCAAATGCAGAACGGGTTCACTGTAGATGCAAGCTAAATGTTGCAGGTGATATGTTAAGTACCTATATCTTTGGTTAAAATTGTGGGTGAAGGCATTTTACACAGCCTTTCCAAGGAGGGATGCTTCATTATTATGATTGTTAATGATGTAGGACTGAAGGATATCATTTTGAAGAAGGGAGTCATCAGTATTCTTTATGAAAATGGAAAATTTGCATAACAGAGAATTTAGGATAGCATCAGGTTATGAAAAGTAGTACTCTGACACAAAAAGTTATTACAGTGAAGCTGCAAATGTCTTATATTAATATTAACAAAATAATAGATAATGATTTCAAGTTAATGAAAGCTCCCTATCTTCCAGCCTTACCAAATCAAGAGCTATTTCTATAAAAAAAAATGTCTGAAAAAGTTAGAATAATAGGTAGTCCCACTTCACCACATGTATTGTTCTCTGATGCATATCCAGTGAACTTCTGCATCTGGAGCATGATTAAACATCTTGGAAGCTGACTTCCACATACAGTGGAGATTAAGTGTAAAATTTATCACAATTAATTGACCTCACCATTCTTCACATGAGCTTGTTCTGATGGTAACTGATGTCAATCATCAGTTCCTAATCATGTTGATCATAATCAACAATGGATGAAGTAGTTTCAAGGACAGCATAGAACTAGAAAGTAATATTTATAGTTTGATTGATATCATGCAGAAAAAATATTTGGGAATTATTTAAATTCCTGAATAATGTTATGTTTTGAAAGGTAGAAGTTTACTTAGGAATAAAGAATAAATTGGTTGAAAAGTGTAGCACTAATAAATTCAAACTGAATTATGTAACTAGAAACTCAATTTGTTTTGAAAATATAAACAAGTATTTTGACATTATACTGTTGTGCATGTGTATAGTAAACAATCTTGTACATTATAGTTTTCAGTGAAAGAAAGTCAGTTTGTAAAAGTTATGTAGTTACATTACTTCCAAGTATGTCTATATGTTAATTTAATTACATGAGGTTTCTTCAGTGTTCATTCTGATGTGATCTATTGTGTGTCCATGTTGTATGTAACTAGAGTTAGTCACATAGATAATTCAAAGTGTATAAAAGCATACCTTTATACAGTAACTGAAATGAAATAATCTAGAATTGGAGTAATGAAATATTTATGGTTTGCAACCATGATCCTCTGTTTGACAACTTACTGTCAAAATATTTAGGAATGTGCTGAAAAATTAATGAAATATTTGATATAGATAAATGGCACATGATTATTGTCATGTTGTTTTTAAAAATTGTGTCTGTACTGTTCCAGTAGTGTTGTTTTAAATCTGGATTTGTATTAAATGCACTAAACTTCTATCAGTCACATTTAGAAAGTAATGGGTCAGTGACAGTTTCTCCTTAAAATTGTTTATTTTCTAACAAGGAGTACAGCTTCTGTTATTGGAAGATTTATGTTTTTGTCGTTTTTAAACTATTTAAACTGATGGTGGTGGTGATATGAAAGCATAATATGCATACTTCAATTAACAACTGAATAGCTTTATTAATATGACTTTTAAAAGCACATTATAATATCTCATAAAAGAAACTTAAACTTAATTTTTCATTTAGTTTTAATATTTTTTAAAATCAGTTAACCTTTTATTTCTAAAGAGAAGAAAATATAAAACTGAAACAGGATGTTCTTGTGGTATGGTGATGTGTTTTTAAAAAACTGCTTTTTAGAATATCCTCACTAATCAAACCTATTATTCTTGTTTCTCTGCTTGTCTAGCATTCTGATATGTGTTTCTGTTTGTATACATGCAAAGATTTTTATTAATAATCAAATTTTAGTAAAATCTTGTGTGTCAGTTAGTTGTGCATTAATTTATTTTAAAAGTATCTTAGAGTTACATTTTCTAAATATTATAAATTTCAGTGTCATTTTTTGAGACATAAATCGGTCCAGTATTAGATCTGAAAACATTGCATGAACATTGTTGGTTTATAGATATCCTGTTTACTGTTGAAAAAAGTTGTTTGTGTTATATTTGATATACATGTGAAATCTAGGATATTTTATGTAGAATTAACACACATTACTTCACACTCTGAAAAAGTAATCAGTTAAGAAATTCTTTCTTTATGATTGTTCATGTAAAAACTTCTATTACATTGCTGTTGAGAACATATTTCATAAGAAACATAGATTATGTTTTTGAGTTTTTACTTTGTTGTTGTAGAGAGTATTTCACAATTTTTCAAACTTCAACACACTATATGTTTAAAATTTAGTTGTATCAAATTGTAAATTTTATTGATAAAGAAGAAAAACAGTTATTAGATATAATCCATTATTTCTATTCTAAATTATAAAAAAAGCATAATTTTTTGAAGTCTTGTGTAAAATTATTCTGTTCAATAATCCAGTAATAATTGATTTTTGTAACTGAAAAAGTGTTTAAGGTTTGACAATGATTTAGTGATCCCATAAAAATAGTTATCTTTAATATTAAATCCTTGCTCACAAAAATTTATATAGTTACATAATATAACCATTTTTAACAGGTTGCATACGATTTTCTATGTTTTTAGAACCTCCGAAAAATGGGAGAGTGATGGTAGAAATACATTACGACCTGAATGGACATTGGCTGAGCTGAAACTTCCTTCCTACATCAATATCAGCTGTGTTGTCAATGGGTATACAAACTTTCATCGATTTTGTTATAGTCGTGACAGCAGTCCAGCTGCTTTTGTGAAGAAAGATAATCTTATATCAGATATTCCTGCAAAAAAGGCAGGGGAACAGGACTCAAGCTTTTGCGGTAGTAAAAGAAACAATATGCAAGCACACATAGAACAACGACCATGTCTACTGGATAATTCTCATGCTCCATCTGGGAAGCTTGATCCAAAATATACTGACAACAAAATGCAAAAAATATTAAAGCCATCACATTTTATAGTAGCAGATTCTGTTAAAAGGTTATATGTTAATGATGCAGAAAATAAGCATCTTAATGGATATAAAACAGAAGATTCAGCTAATGGATTGGTTAAGGTTGCTATTCCCCCTAAATCATTAATACAACAGAGAATTGAGAGTTTATATGGACATGAAGTAGCTAAAGTATGGAAAGTTGCAAGACAGAAACCATTTTTACACAAGCCATCAGGAAGGAGCACAGTCTCTGAAGAAAGATATGTTTCATTTAGTAATCGGAGCCCCTCTTGTCCTCCTCAAGCCTTAAGAGCTCGATCAAGTAAGTAGTTTAAAGTAATTGATATAAAAATTCATCAGTAAATAATGTCTTCAAAATGTTCATATACATTAGTACAGTGGTTGGCTAAAATATTGTTCAATTCATTGTGAGTCCCTCTTCCCATCAACCACTATTAAAAAGCTAGTAAAATGTAAATGTAACCTAAAAGTTTGATTTAAATAAGTTGAAATAATCAGAAGTTTTGTTGAAGTATTATGAAATTCAAATTATTCATCTAAAATCTAATTGCAAGGGCTATAAGTTTGGAATAAGTACTTATGTTTTCAAAATTCTAAGACGTTGTTTCTAGCTATAAAATCATTTTTTGGTTCTAACTGTGAAATAAAGCTAGCTTTTGAACATACGTCATGGATCTGATGTTTCTTCTCTGTCAGCTCAGAGGCTGGCTTGTGGGGGATCAGGGGCAGACTGAGAAAAATTTGGACTATTTTTCCAGCCCCTTCCTTTACTAAGACAGCTAATCATGAGCCTCAGATGGACATCCTGCATACTGCACCATTTTTGAAACTAGTACATCAAGTTTTTAATGTCTTGAGCATTTCCCCTTTGGCTTACAACTCTTCTCCTTCTTTGTTGGGGGAAAGTCAGTCTGCTGATTACTTAGTCATTCCACCTTCACCAGACATTGCTTATTTTTGCTTATATTGCCATATTTACTTGGGGTTCTAGGCCTGATGCCACTATTCATCTTAACTAACTCAGTTTACCCGGATGTGACTGTCTCTTACAACAGTTTTGCATTTTTATCTTCTTTGCAACTATTGTCTGAGGCCTATCACAGGTCTCCTGCTCAATTATCAGAGGTTCTGAGTCAGTTATTGACTTCTACTTTGGTAAGGTTTTCAGCTTCTGCTCTCTTTTTGGTTGGTCTGTTTCTGGGATCTTTTAGAGAGAGATGCCTTGCTTGAGGGAGTTTGACTTCCTTGTTTGGCTCTTAGAGATCTCAGAGAAGCTTCTTTTCTCAGACATTCAATTTTTGCAAGTATTCCACATTTCATGAAATTTTGGGTGGATATGGCCCATCTCCACTCTTTTCTTTCAACACTGGCCTCTCACTTTTCCCAATCTTCTTCCGGATGGTTTACTGCATCTCTGGTTTGAGTTTCCAGACCTCTGGCATTAGCTCCATGTTCTATCAGATCACATCACAAGGGTAATTCCATCCTTATCAGCAGGCATCCTCTGCTGGTGTGGACCACTGACAACAGCATTGATGACTATCCTATGAGGTCCAGTCCTGTGGGGTTCAACTCACTCTGTTTGTGTCAGTATGGGAGAGCTTTGCCACCAATCAGTGGGTCATTCAGGTTCTTACATTTCATGTTTCTTTCTTCATTGTCTACCATAATGGTTGCCTTTCCCCTCTCCAAGGATCATCTTACATCCAGTTGTTAGGCATGAGCTATCCAGGATTTTCTGCTCAAAGAGGCTGTAGAGTGCATCGACTACTCTATTGAAGATTTTTATTCCCATTTGTTTATAGTATAGAAGAAGATGTGATTGGCGACCTGTTATCGACCTTTCTCATCTCAGTCATTTCCTCCAGCCTCCTTGGTTTTCCATGGAGTCATTTTTTTCCCTCTGGTGGCACTTAACACCCAGTCTGTGGATGATGAAGTTTGCTTTCACTGATGCCTACCTTCATATTCCAATCATGGAGTCTTCATGTTGGTATCTCCTTTTTGTGCACAAGAGACAGGTTTTTCAGTTTCTTACTCCACCATTCAGCCTCACATCTGCCTCGTACATCTTTTGCCAGATAGTCAGTTCTTCTTCACTCAATGGGCATTCACACTCACCATTATATGATTGACTGGCTTCTTCTTGCTTCTTCCTACCACTTGGCAGAGTTTCACACTCAAGCTTTTTTATCCAAAACAGCAATTGTGAATTTCTCTCGAAAACAGAGAGTCTGTTCTTACCCACACATGCAGTACCTCATCAATTTAGGGATATTTTATCAATTTATCCCCTGTCACTTTGACCGGTTAGGTTCTTCAATTGGTACAGCTTGCTTACTTTGGGCTTTCGTTGAAGGAATGGAGACTTTTTCGGGTCTCATCTCATCAAGTTTTCTTGGTATCTCTGGCATCTCGGTTGCATTGCCTGCTGGAGGAGGTTGTACAGGCTGGTATGTGGACCAGCCCTAATATATTTATATATCTCATTATTTATATGATATGGCAGTTGACTCCTCAGAAGGTTTTAGGCTACTATCCATGGCTGTTCTCCACATCCTGGCTCGTTTCTAGAAGTGTTGAGTGACTTAATTTCTTTTCTGTTTATTTCTATTCTTTCTAAGGGTCCCTCTTGTCATTTTCCTTTTATCCCACTCTGTGTGGCAGGTGTTGCCTGATCAGGCATACTTATTTACAAATTGTTTTTCTAGCTACCAGTTGATTGATCTCAAATTTTCATGGTATCAATGAGGTCTGTTGAGATAGGATGTTCTATAAGACCACCTTGTGCACTCTCTGAGTGCTACACAATTATAACACATAGGACTGCTACTCATTATCATGAGTAAAGCTTAAGGGAATTTTGCTCATCTTTGCTGACCCCTAGATTGAATAAAGTGGGGTTGGTTTGCTTTTCAAAATGGGGAAAGTGGTTCACCTATTGCACTGTCTCTGGAGAATCGTTCTTCAGGACTTTCCAATGGAAGTATTCCCCCCATTTCTCCTAGTGGAGAATGGGAGTCCTTGCCACTCCAGGTCTCCAGTTGGTGGAGTGATGGACAGAGGTTTATTCTTCTTGAGTGATGCTTGTACTCATTATTCCACTCAAGGAGAAGGAGGTGAAGCTGGGTGCCCTCCTACCAATAACCCTGGATGGTTTTTCCCAGATATATATAGTTGGAGCATAGTTTGTGTGTTTAATTTTGTATCTGTAAGTTTCAAAGCTTTATTTAACTACTCACCTTTCCTTGATATATGTCAGTGTAGTATAGTATAGCATGAAGAAGTTTAGTATTGTACCAATATTCAAATTGAAGCAAATAAATTGTTTTCAACAAAATTTAAAGTGCATTCATACCAGATACATTGAAATTTGTGTCATGCTCCAGTGAGTAGTTGTAAATTAATGTGTTTTGGATATTTTTAAATTTTATATCTTATAGCTTTAGTTATTTAAAAAAATCATTAATAAATCTGTTTTAAATCCTAGAAAATGTTAAATTGTGTTTGTTTTTAATGCCTTTAGAAAGCCCACCTGTGTTCAGACATCTCACAAAAGATTTCAGGGATCAACTGCGAGCCTTGGACTCTTCAAATTCTCCTGGTGCTGTAACTAGAGTATCACGTCGAACAGAAAAAAAATCAACTCCCCAATCTGTATCTCATAATCATTTTAAGACATCATTTCCAAATGATGCTCCATGCTATAATAATCAAGAAACCAATTCTGACTGTCTAACTAGAATCAATTCTCAAGTTACCCAAGACAGTTCCAAAAATCTTGAGATGTGCCAAAACAGCAACGATCTTATTGCTCAACCTTGTGCATTAGCTCCAGTCCAGAAATGTGAAAATAATCTGAATATACATGGAAGGGATTTGAATGTTGAAAGTTTAAATGGTCAGTGATTTTGTAGTATTACAAATTTTTTATATATTTGAACAAACTATTTCATGGAAGTTATTTTTCTTCATTTGTAGGGAGGGAGAAGTTTGAGGCTGTAAACAAAATCAACCTATCACATATGACATAAAAACCTTTGATACAAGTCCCAGAAATAAAAAATAGAGTTTGAAAGTCTCCTTAACCAATGGCAGACAATGTTTTTAAATCAGGCTTGGCTGTGCTCAGTTCAGTGATGTCATATTAGAACTATTACACGTGTTGTTGTTGCATTCATTTTAACATGGAAATGCACCTGTAACATGGAATTATTAAATCTGTATTTTAAAATGAATAGTCATTGTCTGGAAAAACATTAGATTGAAAGAATAATGCCCCTGAAAGAAGTAAACTTATAGTTGAAAGTTACTGTTCTTTCTACTGTTATTAGTGCACAAATATAGGATATACACGATAAAGAAGCAATAATCTTAATTCTGTATGAATATCTAGGTAGTAAGTTAAAATGCACCATATTTCCTTAAAAATAACTCATTTTCTATCCTTCTTTGCCCCTTTAGAATATGGCACCAATCATGGACTTTGCTGTTCTTGTCATTAACTTCCATATTTTTTCTGCCTTACATATTCTCATCCATGCAATTAATTTTAATTAATGTAAAAAAAACTGTTACAATTTTAATTGATTCTGTTTTTTACATAATTTTCAACATTAATTTCTATTTTTCATTGTCTTAATTTTTTTTCTTACTGCAGTAATAATCAGATACATTACCTCACAAGCAATCCTGTATGTTTTGTTTTTTTTTTACTATTATTTTAAAGTATATAATTAAGACATTATTTTGATCATTCCATTTTGTTGTGGCTGTCTGCACTTCATGGAAGTTTTTCGTGCCTTAAATCCATGTTTCAGTGATGTTATAAATACTAAAAAAAGCCCATCATTTCATTAGGTTAACACTGTATATATCTGTATGTTATATCACACAAGTTTAGTACATTTATTTGTAATTCAAATGTCCTAATTTTTTTTAACATAGAATTCCACTATAATTTATCAAGCTTAGTAACTAAGATGTATTTTAATCTAAAAGTCCATTAACATGGCTGAGAAAGCCACTAGGGGGATATTCTGAGCTTCTGGTTGATTATTCATGTCATATATAGAAGTAAATGTATATGAGGGGAGCATTTCCAAGAATGGAAAGAGATGGGAGGGGGTGCCACTGTGTTTGATTTATTACATGAGCAATATCTTTACAAATAGAAAAGAAAAGACCTTCTTATTTTATATTCTAGCTTGTCAATATCGGTAATTTGAGTTTCTAATTTGTACAAAACTAGAGAAGTAGTAATTTGACTTCACAAACATCTAATTTGAGCCAGTGCTGCATTCAACATACCATGTGACACACAAAAATTGTTTATCTGTTGTTTTTGCATTCACTTTTGAATTAAGAAATTGAGTAATGTATAGTACTAAAATTTGAATTATAATCTGCAGTTTGATACCAAACTTATTGACATAAATTCATTAAATAGTAGTTCAATAAAATTTTGAATGCGAGCCAACAAACGAGATGACATAGCATTTCACCCGTGACCTGTGTGTTAGGCTTAGGTCTTATTATCTGCTGACTTGAAGAGAAAAATTGGCATAACTAATACTCAAAGTTAACAACAGCGACAGTGTTCATTACTATTACTGGTATTAGTTTAATTAAATGAAACAAATGTCTCTTTATGCAACAATAATATCCTTGTGTGATGGGTTCAACTGTTTTGAAGGTGGAGAACATTAATCCAGTTTTATTTTTAAGAAAATTTATGATTGTCAAGAAGATAAAGAAATTTGAGTAAACTTAAAAATGCTAGTGAATGTTCTTACAAAGTATAAACATTTTCTGCAGTGTACAAGAGACTGAAATATGAAACACATAACCAGAAACTAGGAATTACCTACTGATTTTGGTATACCATTGGTTATTAAGAAGTACCGTAGGTCCCGGCCATTAAGCCCATATTTTAATCCAAAATTCTACTCCATATTTTTCAAAGAGGGCTTAATGGCCA